AAGTCCCCAATTTTGAAAAATCTGAGGCGTGTTTTCCTATTGTAATATCGTTCAATTACTTGCTTTTGTGCTGCCATTCTTATCAATGCAACTTCTCTTCTTCCTTCAAGCAAATCAAGGTTGACCCGCATCTCTTCATCATTAGATTCATCCGTTGCCTGAACGTATCGGGTGCTCGGTTCACCTATTTCAACTGGAATTAAGGCTTCCGTACCATAAACCATTAAAAATGGTGTTTCTCCATTGCTTGTTTTTGTCGTTGTACGATAAGCCCATAGTACTCCAGGTAATATCTCAGGCCAATTACCTTTTGAATCCTGTAACCTCTTCTTCAAGTTATTGATAATGACTTTGTTTGTGGATTCCGCTTGTCCATTACCCACTGGATGGTATGGCGTAGATGTTATCCTTTTAATCTGCCAACTTTAAAGAAATTCTGTGATTTGAGCTCCTATGAATTGTGGTCCATTGTCACACACGATCTCCTTTGGTGCTCCAAAGCGGCATATTATATTTCGCCATATGAAGTCTTTAACTTCCTTCTCTCGTACCTGTTTAAATTCTCCTGCTTCTACCCATTTAGTGAAATAATCTGTGAGTACAAGTAGAAACTTTACCTGACCCTTTACTTGTGGTAGTGGACCTACGATATCCATTCCTCATTTCATAAAGGGTCACGGGGCTATACCAGGATGTAGTAACTCAGCTGGTCTGTGCATATTATTGTCGTATCTTTGACATTTATCACATTTGGACACGAGGTTGTTTGCCTCTTCTTCCATCTTAGGCCAATAATATCCTGGTCGAATCAATGTTCTTACCAGTGACCTTCCCCCTGCGTGATTTCCACAATGTCCTTCGTGCACTTCCTTCATCACATATTCTGTTTGAGAGGGTCCGAGACACCTTGCTAGTGGTCCACCGAACATCTTTCGATAAAGATTTCCTTGATATAAACAATATCGAGCGGCTTTTTTGCGAAACGCGTAAGCCTTCCCTTTGTCATTAGGCACGGTTCCGTGCTGTAAAAAAGCAATAATTTTGTTTCTCTAATCCCATGTTAAAAGATTAAAATTTACCTCATTCTTATCAGGTTCGAGAACGGAATGAAATAAATGTATGACTGTAGCATTTGCGTCATTTGCTACGTCAGCTGCAAATGCGAGATTAGCTAAAGCATCTGCCTCCACATTCTCATCTCTTGGGATCTGCATTACCTTCCAAGTTTGGAATTGCTTTATTAGTTCCCATACCTTTTCGAGATATTCTTGCATTCGAGTTTCCCTGGCTGTATAAGTCCCGAACATTTGATTGACCACAAGTTGAGAATCACTCTTGATTATAATTTGTGTTATGCCAAGTTCTCTTGCCAATTCTAAACCTGCAATTACAGCCTCATACTCTGCTTCATTGTTAGTTATAGAATGACATTTTATAGCTTGCCTAATAGTTTTACCCGTAGGTGGTATGAGAACTATACCCAAACCTGCTCCTTTTACATTAGATGAACCATCAGTGAATAAAATCCAAGTCCCCGGGTTTGCACCATTAAAAACTTGTAATTCTTTTTCTGCTTCTAAATGCATCCCCTGGCTAAAATCAGCTACGAAATCGGCTAATACTTGAGATTTTATAGCAGTCCTAGGTTGATAAATGATTTCGTATTCACTTAATTCTATAGCCCATTTTGCTAACCTCCCTGACAATTCATGTTTATGCAAAATGTTTCGAAGTGGAAAAGCAGTAACTACAACAATGGGATGGCATTGAAAATAAGGTCTTAATTTTCTAGATGCCATGATCAAAGCTAATGCTAATTTTTCTAGCTGTGGGTATCGTGTTTCAGCATCTAGTAAGGACTTACTTACATAATAAATAGGAGATTGTTTACCTTGGTCCTCACGGACTAAAACAGCACTTCCCCAACTTCAGACACAGCCAGATAGATGAAAAGCTTTTCTCCCACCTTTGGTTTTTCCAATAACGGTGGTTTTGACAAATAAGCTTTCAAATTTCTAAGGGCTTGTTGACAATCTTCATTCCATTCAAAATGATCTTGCTTTTTGAGTGCAGAGAAAAATTTAAAACACTTTTTTGAAGATTTGGAAATAAATCTCCCCAAAGCTGCAATTCTTCTCGTTAATCTTTGAACTTCCTTTTTATTAGTAAGGATATCAGGGATTTCTTCTATTGTTTTGATGTGAGAAGGATTTACCTCAATACCACGGTTAGAAACAAGAAAACCCAAAAACTTACCTGATGCAACTCCAAATGCACATTTTTCTGGGTTGAGTTTCATATTAAATTTTCGCAAAATTTCAAATGTAACAGATAGATGAGAAATATGATCATGAGACTGCTGGGTTTTGACGAGCATATCGTCTATATATACCTCCATTGTCTTTCCTAAATGTTCTTGGAACATTTTGGTGACCAACCTTTGATAGGTTGCCCCAGCATTTTTGAGACCAAAGGGCATTACTTTATAACAGTAAGTCCCCCTGTCTGTGATGAAAGAAGTTTTTTCTTCATCACTAGGGTCCATTTTAATTTGGTTGTACCCTGAATATGCATCTAAAAAACTTAAAAGTTCATGTCCTGCAGTTGCATCAATTAATTGATCTATATGTGGTAAAGGAAAAGAATCTTTTGGACAAGCTTTATTAAGATCTGTATAATCTACACAGACTCGCCACTTACCATTTTTCTTAGGTACAACAACTGTGTTGGCTAACCAATTAGGGTACTTTACCTCGCGGATTGACCCAATTTTTAATAGCTTTTGGACCTCATCTTGAATCACCTGGTTTTTGAAAGCCCCTTGCTTTCTTTTCTTTTGCTTTATTGGTGTAAAGGATGGGTTTTCGTTTAATATGTGAGTCATCACATCCGGTGGTATCCCTGTCATGTCAGCATGGGACCAAGCAAAACAGTCCACGTTAGATTTTAGAAATTCAATTACCATACCTCGCATGTTTAAGTTTAAATTAGCTCCAACATAAACTTTCCGTTCAAGCCACTGCTCAAATAATATCACAGCCTCGAGTTCTCCGATGGTTGTTTTGATATTTTCATTCTCCTCAGGTTCTTGAATTGTATCAGGTCTCGAGTCTAAATCTGTTTTCTCTTGCTTAGTTGAGGTTTGATTGCTGACACCTTCAACTGTTTCCTGTAAATGCTATTTTTCTTTGTTTACGGTGCTCGTATCTGTTACAGCGTTGATACTCCTGGCTGTATGTTGATCCCCTCGAATTTGACAAATCCCCCACTGTGATGGAAATTTAAGAACTTGATGTAGAGTTGATGGAACAACATCCATATCATGGATCCAAGGCCTCCCCATGATCATATTGTAGGTCATTTCCATATCAACTACCTGAAATTTAGTTTCTTTAACAACACCTGCAGCAAAAGTTGTTAGAACTACCTCTCCTTTGTTACCACACTTGAATTGTTGAAGCCTGACAAGGTATGCGTCTTGGGTATCATGTTATCTTCAGCTTGCATTTCACGTAATACCCTTAGTAGTATAATATTTACGGAACTCCCTGGATCAATCAAAACTCGTTTTACATTAGTATCATGTACTAGTAAAGATATTACCAGTGCGTCATTATGTGGGGTTATCACTCCTTCGGTATCTGCATCATCGAATGAAATACTTTCATTTTCTAAAACCTACCGTACCCGTTTACCGTGTGTAATTGTTACTTTAGAAACCTTGTTGGAAGCTGTGTAGGTTATGCCATGAATATCTTCTCCCCCACTTATCACATTGACTGTTCTCTTGGGTGAAGGAGGCTTTGGAGGCTCTTACCTATTTTTCATATAGGCTTGTTTACCTTTTTCACTAAATAACTCAGTGAGGTACCCTTGCTTCAATAGATGATCCACTTCACTCTGCAAGAATCTACATTCTGAAGTTTTGTGCCCGTGATCATTGTGGAATTCGCACCAATGATCTGGATTGCGTCTATTTGGATTTGACCGCATCTCTTTTGGCCATCGTACCTTATCTCCCATGCTTCTCAAAACAGCCACGAGCTCGGAGGTAGTAACATTAAAGTTATATCCGTCGAACCTTGCCTTTAAACTTCTGTCATCATCTCATGACTCTTGTTTATTCCGATCATTTCTGAATCTTGATGAAGAACCAGATTCCCTGTTCCTCAATTTTTGATCATATTGCTGGCTATCTTGTTTTGACCGTGAGTCTTTTCCTGCAGGTCCCATATATGGATTGTACCTGTTTTTACCTGATCTTTTTTCGGTTTCTGATCTTCTGGAACCGCCCCTTTCTTCATGATGAAACTTAGGTACGGTATCTTATTCAATTCGCAGCTTCGTACTGTACCTGTTGTAAATATCATTCCACGTGGTTGCAGGGAATTCTCGAAGGCTTTCTTTGAGTCTTCTCGTGGCTTCAGAACTTTTGTCATTTAAATTACTTGCAAAAGCTATTGCAGCCCAGTTGTCAGGTACACGGGGTAGAGTCATTCTTTCACGCTGGAATCTATCAACAAAGTCTCTGAGCAACTCTGAATCCCCTTGTTTGATTTTGAAAATATCTTCCATTCTTTTCTCAACCTTTTGAGCTCCCGAGTGTGCTTTAATAAAAGAATCTGCAAGCTCAGCAAAAGAATTTATAGAATTTTCAGATAAAAGAGAATACCAGGTTAATGCACCCTTGGTGAGTGTTTCTCCAAATTTCTTGACCAGTACTGATTCAATTTCTTGTTTGGTCAAGTCGTTGCCTTTCACGCCTGTTGTAAATGCAGTCACGTGGTCACGTGGGTCTGTAGTACCATCATATTTCGGGATGTCAGGCATTTTGAACTTTTTCGGAATTGGAAGGGGAGCAGCACTTGGCTTCCAAGGTTGTTGTGAGTATTTGTCCATGTCTACTCCTTTTATTACAGGCGGAACTCCAGGGATTTGCTCAATACGCTCATTTTGTTCCTTAATCTGTTTCTGCAAGGTTAGTACTAAATTTTGCAAATAGGAATTATTTGAATTACCTGGTCCCCCTTCCTGTTGTTCACTGGTGGTTCCTCCATTTCCAAAATTAACAAGACCAGAACGAGGATTCTCCAATGTATTATTATTAGGAGTTGGTGTGGGTGGTGCAGCAGGCAATCGATTAACTAGAGCCTGAAGAGCTTTGCCGACCTGTGCATCAATTAGCTTTTGTAAAGCTTCATTTGCACCTCCTTCAAAATGTTCAGATTGTTCTTGTTGATCAGCACGGGATTCAGGGGCAGGAGTGCCTACACAAGATTGACGTGGTGAATCTAGAGGGGAGGGAACCACGTCAATGTTCGGTAGGTCTCCTTGATTTTGATGGATTTGATTTTCATGGTTTCCCAATGTGTTATCACTGTTATTGTTGTTGTTGTTGTTTGACATGTTGATAAAGACGAATAAAACGTAGCTTCAAAGAAAAGATTATTAGATTTCCGATAACGGAACCAATTTGTTTAACCAAAAATGTGATTCTTTGGTCAAAGCTAAAGACAAATAAAAATTCGGGCTACTGATAATCAGGAGACGAAAAAGAAATAATAGACTTTTTGAGAATGACAAATAAGCAGTAAATAGGTTTGTATTCCAATGTAATGTTTATGATATCCTTTGTCCTTACAAATGACGAGACCTCCTCTTTTTATAGTTGATTCTAAGTAAAGGAGTAATACCTTAGTCTTAATGAGACAATTATGAACAATAAATGATATTAAATAAAATGTTACACAATCATTTCTATTTAATACCAATATTGGGTATTTAATATTGAATTTGGACTCCTTTTCGTCATCATATCCATGTCTTCAATGCCTTCTGATCTCTTGGCTTTAAATGACCTAAATAGGTACGAAGCTTGTATTATTCGAATTGCCTCTCGTGCCTATTTAGCTTTNAATAGACTTTTTGAGAATGACAAATAAGCAGTAAATAGGTTTGTATTCCAATGTAATGTTTATGATATCCTTTGTCCTTACAAATGACGAGACCTCCTCTTTTTATAGTTGATTCTAAGTAAAGGAGTAATACCTTAGTCTTAATGAGACAATTATGAACAATAAATGATATTAAATAAAATGTTACACAATCATTTCTATTTAATACCAATATTGGGTATTTAATATTGAATTTGGACTCCTTTTCGTCATCATATCCATGTCTTCAATGCCTTTTGATCTCTTGGCTTTAAATGACCTAAATAGGTACGAAGCTTGTATTATTCGAATTGTCTCTCGTGCCTATTTAGCTTTTCTTTCCCCGTATCTGTTGTCACTCGTGCCTCTTAACTGATCATCATATTTTTACCATTCCTCGTGTCATGCCACGTCACCTTCAATGTAAATTCAGTTTTTTCCTAATACAATTATATTATTGTCCATTCTATACGGACACACTTTCTTTCAAATATTTTCAATAATAAATAAATATTTCTCTATTTGGAGACCATTTACAATTAGCATTCCAATTTTACCCCACTTTTTTGGACCCTCTTTATATAAAAATTTACTCCTATCTTTTACTAGAAGACAGAAATGAAAAGATACGTGGAACCCTTGCCACCACACACGTAAGAGAAATTTTGGTATCTTGCATATATTTAGTTTATGTGTTAAAAATATTCTTTTACTTCTTAAATTTTGTGTCGATTCAAACATGAAGCACGTATAAAGTTAAACTTATTTTTTCCTAATTCTTCATGTCCTCCTTACTATAAATTTGAATGAATGCACTGGCAGGAGTTGTTTGTAGCCGGAACTTCAACCTCAGCAACAACCATGCTATGGGCTTTTTCAGAATTGGCAAAGAATCCGAAAATGATGAAGAAAGCACAAGCTGAAGTGAGAGAAGTCTTCAAGTTGGGAACAGAAAGGATCAATCAAAGTCACATTCAAAAGCTAACGTACTTGAGAATGGTAATCAAGGAAACTCTAAGACTTCATCCCTGGTCGGGCCCTCTTTCATTCGCTAGAGAATCCAGGGAGGAGAGTGAGATCGACAGATATACAATACCAAATAAAATGTTAGTGCTACTAAATCTATGGGCAATTGGAAGAGATCCAAAATACTGGGAAAATCCGGAAACATTTGACCCAGATAGGTTTGATGGAAGTCCAATTGAAAGCGTACCAACTCATTTTGAGTACACGCCATTTGGTGCAGGAAGGAGAATATGTCCAGGAATATCCTTTGGAATGGCGAGTGTGGAAGTTTCCCTAGCATTATTGCTCTATCATTTTGAATGGAAACTTTCCAATGGGATGAGTCCTCAAGAATTAGATATGACCGAGAAATTCAGTACCAGTCTTGAAAGAAAAACTAAGTTGTGCTTGATTACCTCCCCTTACGTTCCTATAAATGGGACTATGGATTCGTACTAGTTTAGTAGTGTTTCTCTCAAACGCACACGTAAGTATACGTGGTCGACAAGTAATATAATGATAAGTTGAGTGTCGAACCCACAAAGACTTGTGTAAACTACTCACTAAATCGCTAAAATTGTTATTCAATCCAGCAAAAATCAAAGTCCAATAATATGATTATATTATACTACGATTCTAAACAATAACTAAATTATCAAATAACGAGTTGATTGTTGTGTATTCAGTAAAGACAAATATTCCAGGGTTGTGATCGATTCACCATTCATATTGTGTTCTAATTAACTCTCCCTTTCATATAATTCACTCATGGTTGCTAATTAATCGATCAATGCTCTCATAGCTTTCTCCCGAAGTACTACTCACCTATTCTCAATAGATTAATACCTATATTCCTATGAAATCAATCTACTAAGAACGCATTAAGATCACGATATTTAATTAAGCACGATGACTAGGTATATTCCTATCCTAACCACAAATCCGCTCCCCCTAAGGGTTAAGATCATGCTCTTTTCAATTCTTCTCTAATCTAAACACGGCTTTCCCAAGCATAGGATAGATAGTAAATAGAACCTAACTATTGGTCAGACAATTAAGCAATTAAACACAGAATTGAAGAAACAACCATATATTGGTAAATTATAATCAAGGTTAAGTTAATGTCAGACAACAATATTCATGGCTAAATCACAACCCCAGAACAATGGGTGTTTAGCCACTCATGATGTAATCAACAATTGCATAAGTTTTGATTAATTGAAAATACTAGAAAAGATGAAGAATTATGAGATGTTTTTGCTCCTCAATGTTTCTTGTGTGTATTTTTTGCTCCAAAGTGCGTCCCCCCTCCAAAATTAGGCTTAGTCTTCCTTTTATACGTGTTGGATAAGTCTAGGGTCGAATAAACCGTGTCCTGGGCGAAATAGGATAAATTCGCGTCACCGGCGCCTAGCCCAGCGCCAGGCGCCCTCCATAGCGCCCCCAAATTTGTGCATAATGTTTTTGGCGCCACATGTGGAGCCAAGCGCTGCCTGTGGCGCCCAACTGGCTCCCTTTTTCGATTTTGTTCGTTTTAGCTTCAAATCTTGCACGTTTTGCCCCCAATTGCTCCCAAATCATTCCTACAAGTAAAAACACTTCAAATTAATATAATTCATAGCATTTAACATCCCAAATTCACGAAACAAAAGTAAGATATGAGGTGATATACATAAAAATATATATACTTTAAGCTAAACATCAACACCCCACACTTAGACTCTTGCTCGTCCTCAAGCAATGGGACAATCTAATAAACCCTCAACTACATACAAAGTTCAATCATAGAGGAGCACCTTATCTTTTAACTACACACTATACTCTTGACTACAATCAATTCCGGCACGTAAGCATGGACACACAAAATTTCACAATATAACCCTTCAATTCAATCAATTTCAACAACTTATTTGTCACCACCCAACCTCAAAAGCCGACTTGCAACCACTAAGCACCCTCAATTCATGCACTTACTCAACACGAATGTTTACAACATTACCAATCATTCATGAGATCATGTGCCCTTACCAACAAAACAAAAGAGTGAATATAGTAGTCCACACATTCAAATATACTTTTGAATATAAATTAAGGACATCTCACAATTTGAACAAAATTCGCTCACTCTCACAAAGAATTCATATGCATCCCGTGCTCGTATCATAAGCTTGCCCGTAGCGTATATCTCTACTAATTTAAGCTAGCCAAATCTAGGATCAATTAGGACTTTAAGGTTGTAATGTAGGCTAAGGGACAAATATGATATATTTAGAAATAGTGACTAACCCTCCTAAACACTTCAATACACTACATTCACAATTCAAGCACATATTCTTCTCAACCAATTCACTTGCCACAAACGATATGCAACATAGCCCTTACTTTTCATTAAGCACTTCTATATTTCCACTAGCACAAATCAATAAGAATTTGAGGTGTGTATTTTTATACATTATTGAACTATCATATTTTTTTCTTTCTTTTCTTGCAATTTTTCTTTTCCTTTCTCTCTTTTTTTTCTTTTCTTCACACACTCTATACATCAACTTTAGTGCACCAACGGGCTCTTCCATGGTTCCACTCAAAAGTTACTCCCCAATCTTCAACCTTACTTCTTTTAGCGACTAAGTGCCTTAGGAGGTAAATGTTCAATCAATATCAAATTAAGAACAAAATAGGGGATGGCTTGTAATGTGGGTGCCAAAAGAAAGGTCTTTAGGCTCAAAGAGGCTAGTAACGGAAAATTCTATTATAATGTGACAAGCACATCCATGATCAAGCAAGAAAATGCCTACGTCATCTCCTAGATTAGCACAACTTACAATTTTGCTTCAATTAACACACGGGGCAAGTTCAGGGCTACACAGGATAGCATAGAAAATCACGAATCCTCACACACATGTCGCACATGACTCAATTAAGACGGTTCTGTTCAACTCTCAAGTCAAGCAAACACAACTAAATGAGAAATTTAAGCAACATTGCACTATGCAGCTTACAAGTCAAACAACTGAGAAAAGGCGTCACAAAATAGGCTATTTACTTTGCTTTGGCTTCACAATTCAAACCAACTACACGGGAAAACAGAATATATGTCATAGCCTAATGTGCCAGCATCAACCATGTCAATGAGTATCTCAGAACGACTCAGTTCCTTCCTAAATTACTCCTAAAAAGAAATTAAAGTCCCCGGTTCGAGCTACATCCTTGGAAAAGAACCGGTGCCCAAAGAAAACTAAGGAATACTACCTAGCTATTCTAAAAAAAAAACTTTTTGGTGTTTTTAAATCGAACGTTTATCCCTCAAGAAAATTGTCCAAAAGATCCATCGTCGGGAAAAATCCGAGCTTTTTCAATTATTTTTTTTTTGTATTTTTATGTTTTTTTTTCATTTAAAGCAACTAATACGACACTAGACTAACTACACTAGAACTACTGAAAGAAACAAAACAAAACAGGTTGATACAAAATATACAACTACAGCACATGTAGTATTCCTCCCACCCCACACTTGAACTATGCATAGCCCTCGATGCAAGTAAAAATGAAAAACAGAGTAGGGTGAAAAGATAAAGTCCCTGTCAATCAGAGTCCACTCCCCCAGCAGCGCTGAGGTTATCAGCATCCGGTCCGAAAGGCACCAAATTCATGGGCCCGTAGCACCATTTCCATCCTCATCCTCAGTATCCGAGCCTTTTGCAGAGTTGATGTCCTCAGGCGGGTGAACGGGGCTGCCCAGTGCAATCCCCAGCATCTCCTTGGACGTGCTGGACAAGTCATCACGCAAATGCATACGCTCTTCGTCTGTAATGTCAGCCCTGCTCATGAGCAAGTTCAAAGTGTTATAAATGTACCTGTTGAAGTTCTCCTCTCGCTCCATCCGAGCAACGGGGGTGAGTTTGGACGATGCCTCCACCACAGATGTGATGTCCATAAGCCCTAACGGCGCCTCCACCACCTCATCATATCCGGGATACTCTGGCACTCTGCAAAACATCATATACTGAGTAAGTAAATGCCAAAGAAGAACCACCGAATTTGTCGCCCAAACCTCGTGCGGGCCATCTCATTGAGCATGATGTCAGCTACATTAATTGGTAGGCCTATCATCAAGGAGAAGATGAGACACACTCTAGCTCGAGTGCAGTTGTTGTGCTCTGCCGGCATTAGTCTCGCCTGCACAAAGTTCTGCCATTATTTGGTAGCGTTGTTGAAGTCTGAGCATACCATAGAGATGTGAATGTTGCCTTGCTTCCGTATCCACTTAGCATTGGACTCTACAGCACAAAGAGTGTGACGTATTTTCTCATATTTCGGCTTTCGGATCAATCGTTGGAGTCTCCTTGGGTCGGCATTCTCAACCCCCCAAATAGTCACACAAATACTCCCTGCCCAGCGGCACATCCTTTCCTCGTACACGTGAAGTGCTTTTTTGAGAATCCCAGTTAGCATACAGTTCTAGTACCATGCTCAGGTTTGCAGGCCCCGGGCATTCCAAGAACTTTTCCATCTTTAAAGCTCGCAGCCTGTCAAGTATCTCCGGGAAGTTCCTCTCTAAGGCTGTGGTATTAATCCCTATCTTAGAAACATACCGACCAGACGACACGAGTCCCTGTGCCAAGCTATAGCATCAGCATCAACCAAGTCCAAATGAGGCCTCAGCCTTAATGGCACTTGCTGAGATCTCTTGGCGGCCTGTTTCCCCTTGGATTGTCGTGAAGAGCTTTCTCCCTGCTTGCACGTTTTGGTCGCCGGAGAGGTGGTAGAGAAATTTCCAATGCCTTTGCCTTTGCTAGTGCTATCACGAGCCATAATATCCTGCAACACAAGTAAACATGAATATGAGAATGGTTCAAGAAATATGCCTCAGGTTGTCGTGCAAGTCATGAAATGACCCCACACTTAAAACCGAAGGTAGAAGTAAGTGTTTCACCTCAAAGCTATGGGTACTCAAGACTTCCCCATGCTACACAATAATGATTGATCATGGAAACGTGAATTCTCAATAAGGTAAGCAAAAGGCATATGGTATGCACCTTTCACAAATACTAGACTATACTAAATTAGGCTAACTTACAAGATTCTACAACATACAACATATAAAAGCAATGGTGTAAGAACATTTTCTTCATCAAAGCCACATCCCCTAGCATGTAAAAGTGTCCCTACACACCCCACACTTAGCCCAAATGCATACACAATTTCATCCGGTTACTCAGACTTCACCGGTGCACCAAAAATCTTCTTTCAAGCATTTAAACAAACACAATTTGGGCATGAAGTGTGTTCTTATAATTCAAAAATGGTGGAACATGGTGGCCCTCCCAATTTTCAACGAAGTAGAGAGAATTCTAGTTTACTACTCCGTATACATATCAAACACACAATTTTCTACCAAAACAAATCACCCATCATAAAAATTTCATAAGAACTACATGGGGAAAACTATGGGGAATTAGGGCTCTTGGGAATGGGATTATGTTTATCTACTAGTTAAAACACAACAAGAAATAGAAGAGAAGAAGAAGAAGAAGAAGAAATACCTGGAAAAAGAGTGCAAGAGGGAAAGAAAAATTGATGAAAAAATTGCGTGAAGAAGAAGAAGGGAGTCGACAGAAGCAGTAGCGTTTGGCGTTAAGTGTGCTTCTTCAGGTTTTAAATTTTTGGGATGTTTGTGTTTGGGTGGGTTTGGGAAGGGATATGGGTAGTAGTATTAGTGTAAATGGGTATTTGGGTTGGGTTAAATGGGTATGGGTTAAAATACAATAAAAAAAAATAAAAAAATAAGAAAAACTTACCTGGACCCCCCAGCTTGGCGCCTGGAGCCCTTCCTGGCGCTGGGGTTTTCGGACCTCACTATTTTTGGCGCCCTAGGCAGCACTGGGCGCTGTCCTAGGCGCTGTTCTCGAGATTTTTTTTTTGAATGAACATCTCGATCCCCCGAGCCCTATATATCCCCAATTTACACGTACTACACCATTACATCTAAAATTTCCATACTTATAAAGAAAATGCAATACTCTACCTATTCTAAAAGAAAAATTAAGAAGTTAAACTAGGAAAGCAATAAAAAATTGGGTTGCCTCCCAACAAGCGCCTGATAACGTCGCGGTACGACGCAAAGTCTCGCTTACTCATCAGTGAGTACAACCTTGGTCTTCTCACGATTAATCATTCCTCCCCAATAATGCTTGACTCTATGACCATTTACCAAGAATTTCCTCTCACCATTTAAAGCTCGCAGCTCGATTACACCATAAGGAGTGACTCTCACCACCTCAAAAGGACCTGACCATCTCGACTTTAGCTTCCCAGGGAACAACCGTAGTCTAGAATTGAATAATAATACCTATTGGTCTGGCTCAAAGTGACGCGGCTTGATATGCTTATCATGCCATCTTTTTGTCTTTTCTTTATATAGCTTAGCATTTTCATAAGAGTACAGCCTAAACTCGTCTAACTCATTCAATTGCATAAGTCTTTTCTCACCTGCGGCCTCAAGGTCCATGTTCAGCTTCTTAATGGCCCAGTATGCCTTGTGTTCAAGCTCAACGGGCAAGTGACATGCCTTCCCATAAACCAGCTTGTAAGGGGATGCTCCAATTGGCATTTTATATGCAGCCCTATATGCCCATAGGGCATCATCCAACTTTGCAGCCCAATCCTTCCTATTCACACTCACTGTCTTCTCCAATATTTGCTTGATTTCTCTGTTTGACACCTCAGCTTGCCCACTTATTTAAGGATGATATGCTTTAGCAACTCTGTGGCAAACTCCATATTTAGCTAGAAGGTTATTCAACAATCTGTTGCAAAAGTGAGTCCCTTCATCACTAATTAAGGCACGTGGAGTCCCAAATCTCAAGAATGTGTTCTTTTTCACAAAAGCAACTACCACCATGGCATCATTCGTTGGCAAAGCAATCGCCTCCACCCATTTTGACACGTAGTCAACTACTAGCAAAATATATTTGTTTCCTCTGGACGGTGGAAATGGCCCCATAAAATCTATCCCCCACACATGAAAAAGCTCAACTTCTAGAATGTTATTTAAAGGCATCTCATGCCTCCTTGTGATTGTTCCTATTCTCTGACATTGGTCACAATTCTTAACGAATGCATGGGAATCCTTGAATAAAGTCGGCCAAAAGAGACCAGATTGTAGCACCTTTATAGCTGTTCTATCTCCTCCATGATGGCCCCCATAAGGTGATGCGTGACAATCATACAACACGCATTCCACCTCTTTTTCAGGAATGCATCTCCTCATCAATTGATCAGCACATTTCTTATACAAATAGGGCCCATACCAGTAGTAGAAGTTCACATCATGTAAAAACCTCTTTCAAGCTTCAAATTAGATTTCGGGAGGAAGTACCCCACTCACAAGATAATTCACATAGTCTGCGTACCATGGGGGAGGGTCTTGGTTTATAGCAAAAAGTTGCTCATGAGGGAATACTTCTTTAATTTGGCCACCCTCCTCCACGTGATCGTGATTTTCCAACCTTGACAGATGGTCAGCTACTTGGTTCTCTGTCCTCTTTCGATCTCGTATTTCTACATCAAATTCCTGCAGCAATAAAACCCAGCGCATCAATCTAGCCTTAGATTCTTTTTTGTAAACAAATACCTGATTGTTGCATGATCGGTATAGACTATGACTTTCGTTCCCACCAAGTATGCTCGAAATTTCTCAAAGGCCCACACTACAGCTAACAACTCCTTCTCAGTGGTGGTGTAATTCAGTTGTGCATCATCAAAAGTCTTACTTGGATAGTAGATGGAATGAAACACCTTGTCCTTCCTCTGGCCTAGCACTGCCCCAATAGCAAGGTCACTCGCATCACACATAAGTTCAAATGGTAAGGACCAATCAGGTGTCACAATAATGGGAGCAGTCACCAACTTCTTTTTAAGTTCTTCAAATGCCTTGAGGCAAGCATCATCAAAGTTGAAAGTTACATCTTTTTCAAGCAGTCTGCACAAAGGAGTAGCAATTTTCGAAAAATCTTTAATAAATCGCCGATAAAAACTCGAGTGTCCCAAGAAACTCCGGACACCCTTCACTGAAATAGGTGGAGTTAATTTTTCAACCGCCTCCACCTTCGCTTTATCAACTTCAATGCCGCTCCTAGATACTTTGTGACCCAACACGACGCCTTCTTGTACCATAAAATGGCACTTTTCTCAATTCAATATCCGATTTGTTTCTCCACAACGGGCTAGCACCTTGCTTAAATTACTCAAGAAATCATCATAAGAAGACCCAAAAACTGAAAAATCATCCATAAACACTTCCACGAATTTTTCCACCATGTCGGTAAAAATAGCCATCATATACCTCTAGAAAGTGGCTGGTGCATTACAAAGACCTAACGACATTCACTTGAAGGCGAAAGTGCCATAAGGACAAGTAAAAGTAGTCTTCTCCTGATCCTCTAGGCATATGACAATCTGATTGTATCCTGAATAACCATTAAGGAAGCAGTAATATCCATGCCCGGCTAACCTGTCCAGCATTTGGTCGATGAATTGAAGTGGAAAGTGGTCCTTGCAAGTTGCCTTTTTGAGCCTTCTATAATCAATGCAGACTCTCCATCCCGTAACAGTGCGAGTGGCGATCAGCTCATTTTTCTCGTTCTCAACTACAGTCATTCCTCCCTTTTTGGGCACACATTGAACCGGGCTTACCTAGTTGCTACCAGAAATAGGAAAAATGATACCTGCATCGAGCAACTTGATTACTTCCTTTTTCACCACCTCTTTCATAATGTGATTTAATCTCCTTTGCTACTCCATACTGGGCGGTGTCCGTCCTCTAAAAATATTTTATGCATGCAGAACGATGGACTAATACCCTTGATGTCAGCTATAGTCCACCCAATGGCCTTTTTATGCTCGCGGAGGACTCTGAGCAATTTTTCTTCTTGAGTGTTGGTCAAACTGGATGAAATAATCATGGGCAATGTCTCAGAGTTCCCCAAATAAGCATAGTGCAGATGCGCTGGAAGGGCCTTGAGTTCTAGCTTCAGAGCTTCTTTAATAGATGGCCTGGGAAAGGTCAGAGTAACAGGCCTGTCCAACTCTTCAAATTTTCTAAACCCCTGTACATAACTGCAGGACATATCCAGTACTTGCTCAATTTCTCCTATCATTTCATCTTCACTATTTTCTACATCCCCAATCAATACTTGTTCAACAGGATCTGCAGGGCTCATATAGGGTACTAACGATGTGGCATCACTCTACACCACAGAGATCATGAATAACTCTTCATAGTGGGCTGGTAACTTGAGTGCTCTATAAACATTGAAGACCTCCACTCGATCACCCACTCTCATTGTCATTCTTCCTTCGCAGACATCAATAATAGCTCGGCCCATGGCTAAGAATGGATGCCCCAAAATAAATGGAACTTCCTGATCAGGCTCGTAATCTAGGATAATGAAATCAGCAGGGAATATGAAGGAACCCACTTGAACTAGCACATCTCCAATCACTCCCTCAGGATGAGCAAGGGGGCGATCAACTAACTGTAAGATAACTGTTGTTGGGCGTGGCTCACCCAACCCCAACTGTCTGAACACAGATAGCAGCATCAAATTGATGCTTTCTCCAAGATCACATAAAGCTCGCTCAACGGCATATTTACCAATCGATATTTGGATAGTGAAACTACCTGGATCCTTCAATTTCTGAGGTAACTTGCCTTGAATTCTGGAACTGCACTCCTCAGTGAGTGCCACAGTCTCGAACTCGGTTAGCCTCCTTTTATTTGCCACATTGTCCTTGATGTACTTTGTATATTTGGGTACTTCTTGTAAGATGTCAACCTATGGAATATTAATTTGCACCTGCTTCAAGATATCAAGAAACATTTTATATGCGGCATTATCTTTTAATTTCTACAATTTTTGAGGGAATGGAGGTGGTGGCCTTGCAACCAATTATGGGGGTTGCTCAGCCACCGCCTCTCCAGCTGGCTTCTCTGGCTCCTTAGCATTCTCTGATGTTGATTCTATAGTGGTTGGCCTCTCATGTAAAGTCACATGTTTCCTCTTTTTAGACTGAACTTCTTCTAGTTGTCTCCCATTCCTCAACGGCACGACATGAAGGGCCGCCCTAGGATTTGCCTCAGTGTCACTTGGAAGAGCTCCAGCTGGTCTAGTGTTTTGAGCATTGGCAAGCTATCCCATTTGACGCTCCAAATTCTTACTGTTGTGGTGAGGGCTTGCTGTTCAGCCATCACTTTCTGAGAGAGAGCTTGCTGTTCAGCTATCACTTTTTTCAACATGTCTTCAAGATGACTTGTAGGACTCACTTGTTATTAAACCTGAGGTAGTCTATATTGCTGTTGAGGTACTTGAGGCCTGTATTGATTCTGAGTGCCCTGATTTCCACCCCAAGAGAAGTTTGGGTGGTTCCTCCAGTTGGGATTGTAAGTGTTCCCATATTGGGTTGTTTGGCCCCTGTTTGAATTACCCACAAAGCAGACAGACTCTGGGTTTGCGGGGCATATGTTGCTCGTGAGCCCCTCTCCACATATTTCACAAAAAGCTTGAATCAGTTGTTCCTGTTGCTTGTTGATACTCAAGTTCATCTGGTTGACTTGATTGGTCAGTGTAGAAATCTGCGCTGATAATGGTGAGATGACATCTAACTCAAGAACCCCTGCAGACTTTTGCACGGTGTGTCTGCCCATCTCTCATTGCCAATCCGGATTGCTCTTGGAGAATTTGTTCAATAATGCATATATCTCGTCAAAGCTTTTCTCCAACAGTTGACCCCCAGCTGCAGCATCTACCACGATCTTTGTTTCAGAATGTATCCCTTCTATGAAAGTGTGAGCTAACACTTCATTCGTCTGGTTGTGATGAGGACAGTCTCTGAGTAGCCTCTTGAACTTTTCCCAAGCTGAGTATAAAGATTCTCCCGCTTTTTGTTTGAAGGCAACTATCTCACTTCTGATCTTTGCAGTTTTTCCTGAAGGGGAGAACCTTGCCAGAAATTTTCTCGCCAAATCATTCCATGTTGTAATTGAATTACCTGGTTCTGCCTTTAGCCATCGCTTAGCCTCGCCCAACAGAGAGAATGGAAAAAGTGTGAGCCTCACATAATCTGGAGTGACCCCGTTAGTTATATAAGTATCACTAATCTCCAAGAAGTTTAGAATATACTGTTGTGGATCCTCGTGTGGAAGACCCATAAATTGCCCGTTTGTATGAAGCAGCTGGATTATGCTCTATTTCAGCTCAAAGTGCCCAGTGATCATGGGCTTCACTATACTGGAGGTGACATTAGCAATGCTGGGCATCGCCACCTCCTGAACAACCATGGGTTGCTCCTCTGCCATGTCCACAGGAAATTGAACAAGTTCCTGAATATTATTTGTGTCCCTTGCTTCCCTCAACCTCCTGTGAAATGTTCTCTCAGGTTCAGGATCAAAGTCTTGAAGTCGGTCTTGTCTTCTGACCCTACACATTCAATCAAAGTTCCTGAGATCCGAGTGACAATCAAGTAACGTTAGACTCGATGAAATAAACAATTAAAGCAAAAACTAGCAAGTAGCTGATATTCAAATCTCCGGCAACGGCGCCAAAAACTTGTTACTCCCAAACGCACACGCAAGTATACGTGGTCGACAAGTAATATAATGATAAGTTGAGTGTCGAACCCACTGAGACTTGTGTAAACTATTCACTAAATCGCTAAAATTTGTTATTCAATCCAGCTAAAATCAAAGTCCAATAATATGATTATATTATACTACGATTCTAAACAATAACTAAATTATCAAGTAACGAGTTGATTGTTGTGTATTCAGTAGAGACAAATATTCCAGAGTTGTGATCGATTCACCATTCATATTGTGTTCTAATTAACTCTCCCTTTCATATAATTCACTCATAGTTGTTAATTAATCTATAAATGCTCTCATAGCATTCTCCCGAAGTACTACTCACCTATTCTCAATAAATTAACGTCTATATTCCTATGAAATCAATCTATTAAGAACGCATTAAGATCACGATATTTAATTAAGCATGATGACTAGGTATATTCCTATCCTAACCACAAATCTGCTCCCCCTAAGGGTTAAGATTGTGCTCTCTTCAATTCTTCTCTAATCTAAACACGGCTTTCACAAGCATAACATAGATCGTAAATAGAACCTAACTGTTGGCCAGACAATTAAGCAATTAAACATAGAATTGAAGAAACAATCATATATTGGTGAATTATAATCAAGGTTAAGTTAATGTCAAACAACAATATTCATGGCTAAATCACAACCCCAGAACAATGGGTGTTTAGCCACTCATGATGTAATCAACAATTGCATAAGTTTTGATTAATTGAAAATACTGGAAAAGATGAAGAATTCTGAGATGTTCTTGCTCCTCAATGTTTCTTGTGTGTATTTTTTGCTCCAAAGTGCGTCCCCCCTCCAAAATTAGGCGTAGTCTTCCTTTTATACGTGGATAAGTATAGGGTCGAATAAACCGTGTCCCGGGCGAAATAGGACACAATTCGCGTCACCGGCGCCCAGCCCGGCGCCAGGCGCCCTCCATAGCGCCCCCAAATTTGTGCATACTGTTTTTGGCGCCACAGGTGGCGCCAAGCGCTGCCTGTGGCGCCCAACTGGCTTCCTTTTTCGATTTTGTTCGTTTTAGCTTCAAATCTTGTATGTTTTGCCCCCAATTGCTTCCGAATCATTCCTACAAGTAAAAACACTTCAAATTAATATAATTCATAGCATTTAACATCTAAGATATGAGGCGATATACATAAAAATATATATACTTTAAGCTAAACATCATGTGGTAAGTTGAATTCTCGTGAGGACTCGTACTACTACAACTTATTTGAAATTACATTTAATTTGTACATTTATTTTTCCTGTTTTGGTTATTCTCTCTCCTACTTCATTCTGACTTTATCTTACATGTATTGTTGAATGGGATTTGGAAGGAAAACTTCCCCATCATGTCTTCCATTGTTTACAGCTTCTTTAGCCTATTACGAAATACAACCCAACTATCTCAATCAATCTACTCGAGCATTACAAATTTTAATTCAAAAGGATCGGAGTACCTATGAGTTGCTAAAAGTTAGTGTCATAATCTAGTTCTCCATGTTATTTTCTCAGGATCACCACGACAAAACATTGCACTTATGTTGTACAAATAATTTAGAATTTTGTTGGTGTTGTAATATGCAAGTGTTCATTCCTAATGTGGTCAATCAAGTTTACCAAGTTATGTTATTCTCTATAAATGGTGTCAAGGTCATGGCTTTTTGATATTGTGAAAGGTCATCCTTTATTTTGTTGAAAAAGTTACATTGACCCTTGAAAATATGAAGATGCACTCTTGAAGAAATGAAGAGATGTTTTGTCTTATATTTTTGGAGAAATAAAGAATCACTTGCTCTTGACTGTAGTAAAATTAAAAGGTAAATTCTTTGCCCATTAATAGGATATTTTTGTAGTGAATAAATGAAGCAAGAAAGTTTAAGAATTTAGTTCTCTTCTAATAAATAGTATTCTCTTCCACTCCTTTGATCTTCTCCTATGATCTTCTTGAGAAGATAAAGAGTGACGAGAAATTGATATGGTTATAAGTCATCTTTTACAAATAATAGGGAAATTATATTTTCTATTCTAAAAACCTTTAGAAGAATCTTTCTTTAAAAAAGAAAAGTAGAACAAGAGAAAGAAAATCCATAGAATGTTAGCTACTTATTGAACGAGGAGTGCAATAAAAATATTTGTAAAGGCGAACTAGGATTAATCTGATTGCAGACTTTTGGCTACAATACTTAATATTAGAAATACTAAAACAAGAGTGGCCGTGAGCGTGAAATTTCAAATCATACGGAGATGAATGTTTGATTTAGGTATTGGCGATATGAATTTTTTCTCTTGACTTTTTTGTTGGCAAGTCTAAATTTTCATGGAAGGTTTGGGTCTTTAATCTTTTAGACATCAATTGCCCAACAATCATTACTAAAAATTTGACCAAAACCAACCGCAGCCGACCGATTTTGATCGGTCAAAAAAATTGACCGAAGTGGGTCGGTGTTTCAAAATATATTATTTTTCAATTTTTTGTTTACGAAGATGGTGACGAAAACTAACATTTAAAGTTTCACTATTTAGGGAAAGACATATTGTCATCTCCCACCAACTCACGAGTTGGAACAGCAACGAACATGTTGTACCACTCTTTGTCGTAGTTATTTTGGGGACCAACAACAAGTCGTTTACTCCTTGTTATAAGTGTAAAAACACCAGCACGGAAACAATTGGGGTGTATAAGTGTAGAAGATGGCAAAAAATTTAAAAAAAAATTCAAAACCAAACTCGACAAGTATCACGGGCCTGCTACTGCCCTTCAAATTACCGGGCATATTTGACCAAGGCATACGTTGAAGTGCTGACAAAATTCGATAATTATCGGGTCTATTGCAGGTTCGAATCTGAGTGTAAAAGAATAAGTGTAAATGAACGAATAACCTTCATGATAACTAGTTACTGGATCATTTTCACCATGAGCTTCAATTGGAAAATTAAATCTCCATTGACACTCCCTGCGAATAAGGGGAAGATGGTCGGGTTTGATGAGAGAAGGATAAAGGTCTGCAGGCTCGTTACGACCTTCTTTTTTTTTTTTATGCTATTGTTCCATTCTGCACAATCGACAACATAATTAAACTCTTGGGAAACAATCTCGAAAACTAAGATTTTGGTTAAAGGTATATTATCATCCTTTGCTTTGCCCTTGGAAGAAGATTTAGCAGTAGAAGATGTTCTAGTTTTGGAAGAAGCAGTTTTTGAGGAACTTCCTTTAACGGAAGAGGAGACAGTTCTATTTGTCAAGGAACCACGGCTACAAAGCCTTCCTCCCCTTCTCCTAGACCTAGTTAGAGCTATTGTATTGCTGAGATCGTTGACTATAGAAATACGACGAGGTTAAGCAGCAAGGTTAGAAGTAGCAGATGATTTGAAAATCATTGAAAATATAAGGGTAAAAAATTGAAGACAAGGAAGAAGAGCAGAGAAGAAGACAAGAACGAAGAGCAGAGAAGGAGACAAAGAACAAAAAAAAGGCAAAGACGAACAAAGTAGAAGGAAGATTATTAGGGTTTGCAGTCCCATATTTATAGGAAGAAGTACTTCATCACAAACCGTCATCATAGGACTATCATGACAAAGTGACAGCACCATCAATGCCTAGAAAAACGTTGCAACTTCAAAACAAATGTGTCTCGAGCATTAAATGAAGAAGGCGCATGTCTTTTCACTTTGTAGCATATCATAATAATATCGGTAATAGGCGGCAAAATAATCCTTTCATAAATAAACTCACCACTTCCTGAATATTTAGTTGAGATTACTTGGAAAATGGAGGTATTAGTAGAAAATAGACTCGGCACGTGGGTATATTAAATGGCGACACACATCAACAAAAATAAAGAGTGACATATTACGATGATATGTGAAACACCCTCGGGGTTGAACAAATACATATCATGCTTATTTAGTCTCATAACTAAATATAATGGAATGGCCTAGGATCTTGTAGAAAGGGTCATTAAATAAGGAAAAAAATCAATCAATCCCGGATTATAATTCGCTATCATTACTATATCTGTTACAAATCAATTATGCAACGCACCATCTATATAAATATATAAAGC